ATTACAAGTAGGTACCTGACGCAAACAATAAACAGCTGCATACAGGGTGTTTCAGGTAATCCGCACGGAAGAAAACGACGCCTATATCGTGATGGCAGGCAGCAGTCACCCAGGCAAGTGGAGCAGGTGTCTGGCAACGGCGAGCTGACCCAATCATTGTCCGATTGTCAATGATCTCATAAGTTTGAGTTGAGCTTACTGCGCATACATTTTTCTAACTACCTCCGAGGTGCTTTTCCTCTCCTTCTCTCCTTCCAAGCATTCCAGTCCTCAAGCCCCTTACCTATGACTCCAGACTTACCGAGTAGACTACAATAATACTTATCTATCAGCTCATCCAGCGCGAACCATGCGTGAAATTGTCAGTTACTTGTCCCTACCCATTTCAAACTCGATTGTCTGGGTCTACTAGAGCTAACAGATATTCCCGCTAAATAGGTGCACCTTCAAACCGGCCAATGTGTGAGTCCTTCGCTACTCTCCCGCCTAGGTTCGATGCATCCGACTGCTGATACACATGTGTAGGGCAACCAGATCGGTGCTGCCTTTTGGCAGAATATCTCGGGCGAGCACGGTCTAAATGGTGATGGCATGTGAGCAGCTCCGAGTCATCCATCTAACTAGGGGCCTTGAGTGATTGCTTATGTTGTCACACTTCAAGATACGAAGGCACCTCCGACCTACAGTTGGAGCGCATGAACGTCTACTTCAACGAGGTAAGAGCATTTATTTAGGTATCGGAGGCTGCTGGTGTTATAGCCCGAACACTGACCATCGCAGGCGTCCCGCGAAAAATACGTGCCTCGTGCAGTGCTCGTCGACTTGGAACCCGGCACTATGGACGCAGTACGCGCCGGTCCACTCGGTCAGCTATTCCGTCCAGACAACTTCGTTTTCGGCCAGTCGGGCGCTGGCAACAACTGGGCAAAAGGGCACTACACCGAAGGAGCCGAACTGGTCGACCAAGTACTCGATGTTGTCCGCCGGGAAACTGAGGGCTGTGACTGTCTCCAAGGCTTCCAAATTACGCACTCTTTAGGGGGTGGCACGGGTTCCGGCATGGGAACACTACTTATCTCCAAGATTCGAGAAGGTGTGTGGCGATATAAACCCCTTATATTTTCCCCTGTTCGAAGTTCTCTACCTCCGAAGGCCCTTAATTGACATCTTACCATTGAAGAGTACCCTGACCGCATGATGGCTACTTTTAGCGTGGTCCCATCGCCGAAGGTCTCCGACACCGTCGTTGAGCCGTATAACGCTACACTATCGGTCCATCAGTTGGTTGAGAACTCCGAGGAAACTTTCTGTATTGATAACGAGGCTCTCTACGATATCTGTCAACGTACTTTGAAGCTCACCAACCCCTCATACGGGGATTTGAACCACCTTGTATCTGCTGTTATGTCTGGTGTTTCGACTTCTCTCCGCTTCCCCGGGCAGCTAAATTCTGATTTGCGCAAGCTAGCCGTAAACATGGTATGCTATTATATCCTCTATCTTCGTCTTGACTCCTTAGCCCGACGAAGTGAAACTTACTTCTAGCGAACAGGTGCCATTTCCTCGCCTACATTTCTTCATGGTCGGCTTTGCCCCCTTGACTGGCCGCGGCGCGCACTCATTTCGCGCCTGTAGCGTACCGGAGCTCACACAACAAATCTTTGATCCTAAGAATATGATGACCGGTTCTGACTTCCGTAACGGACGGTACCTGACGTGTTCTGCGATTTTCCGAGGCAAAGTCGCAATGAAAGAGGTCGAAGATCAAATGCGGAATGTGCAGAATCGTAATTCCTCCTACTTCGTAGAATGGATCCCCAACAACGTACAGACGGCCCTGTGTTCTATTCCACCCCGCGGACTTAAAATGTCGGCAACGTTCGTCGGAAACTCAACAGCCATACAAGATATCTTCAAACGTGTTGGCGACCAGTTCTCTGCTATGTTCCGCCGGAAAGCCTTTCTACATTGGTACACCGGGGAAGGCATGGATGAAATGGAGTTCACTGAAGCCGAGTCCAACATGAATGACCTCATATCGGAATATCAGGAGTATCAAGATGCCGATTTGGATGACGACTATGATGATGAGGAGTATCTAGAGGAGGAGTACGAACAGATGTAGCAGGAAGAAGACTCCCTGCTGACCTCCAACAACACTTCGACCTTGATAGGCCGAATTCCTCAATCTTACAATTCAGAAGCTCTCGATGCTATACTCGACGCCTTGATAAGGATGAATGCTAGCTTTAAACCCGATTGTCTACGAGGGTAGAATTCAGTTAGGTAGTATTCCTCTACGTCTAAATCAACGCCCTCTGGCTAGCCTAAACAGTAGTACTAGGTAGTCTTAAGGATTGTATACATAACAGTAGCAATGAAGTTGGGGCGAGGGCTAGTTGGTAATTTAAAAGCTCGTACCTCATAGGTAGCCTTCTCAAATCTTTTGAAAGAGTTCTTTTGATGGTGCAAGGGCACAGTCATATCCGCAGTTGAGTAATTAAAGATGCTAGAATCTCACACCGCGTAGCATGCTCATTTGCGCAACACTTTTCCCCATTGCAACGGACAATTATCCTAAGATACTTGTCAACATCTGCATTATCATGGTTGGGGACGATGATAAGCGTACTCGTGTCGCTATGTACAGTCAGTAAGTATCAACATCTTTGAAGACGTCAGAAACAATTCGTACGAGATCTATCATAGCAATTCCCTCCAGTATAGCCTAGGTACCTGCCTAGGTACCTGACCCGCCAGGACCTGCATAAACACGATGGTTCGGGAGGAGTATAACTACCTACATGTACCTAGGCATGAATGAAGCAGCAATTGCTTCAGTCTCTAGCAAACGTTTGGCGGCATGTGACGAAGAGAAGCGGTTTGCAGTAGGTATACTAATAATTGCTGTAAGGTACCTTCTTGAACGTTTTTTTAGCGGGGATTATGGGGAACATGTAGGGCAATTCTTGCATTAGCGCCTTCGGCTCCACTTGGCGGCTCCTGCCGCAGTGTCGACTACAAGTAACCTCGGTATGTGCAAATTGTTCATATGTTCAAAATGCATTTTGTATCGCAGCATGTTTTCAGCGGAGACCGTTGTAAGAAGGGATCGATTTCCCTTACTAGGTAGGTAAGTACATGTGACAGTATCTTTTTGGAGATTTCATAGATATCAAGTGCTATGCTGAGAAGGGGTAACTTGTAACATCCAACTATGAAGTCTTTACTAATTGCCATTATGCGAAGTGTGCCGTTCAAGTCTGGTATGGCGAGCATATTCAGCCTCAACATAAAGCCGCGCCGATAGCCTTACACTTCAGGTCAACCGATAGCTAGTCATCCCCCGTCGCGTAACCACCGCGTCACTAATGATGCGTGAAACTGGTGTTCTAAAGGAATAGTTGTCCAAAGTTCCTGTCTCATTTCATGTGAAGAGCTCCAGCCTGTGGGTTGTAAGTGACCAATTCTTCAACAGGGGCACTCGCTCATGACGAGTCTCCTTTCGCCGTAGTCACAGCAAGTAATTACTTATAGCTGTTTCCTTATATAAATAAGATATCGACTCACTCACTTACCCTTAAGAAATGTGGTTCGCATTGGATCCGTTCTGAATATAGAGTAGGTGAATTATTCTAAGTAAATAGTTGATCTAACTTGGAAGAAAGGTTGCGTAGCAGTATGACACGTTGCACCTGCCACCAATGAAAAAAACCGGGCCTACTTATTACGGTCGGGCGCAGCGGCTTGTCTGTAGGGTGTGCTTGGACCCTGGTGTTCTGTAAATACGCTCTCTCCGATGCCATTGCGCATGATATAAAGGGAGAAAGAGAAGACGAGCTTGTAAATGACTTGTACTTGATGTACGTGGGTTCAATACTGCCACTTATCCTGCATGCTGAATGATTACGACATTCTACAATGTCGAGATCTCGCCAGGGGGTTAAGCATATAGGTCAGCACGCACCATTGTCGTTGCAGGAAGGGGTCAGTCTCCATCGTAGGCTATTCCTTCGCTATATACTCATACGTTTCTTGTCATGGAAGTGTCATCATAATATATCTAATGATGGGTTTACCTCTCAAATTAAGTAGCTAGCCTTGAAAAGCACGCATACATATTATCAATGTTATTGAAGTAGTCATTTGCGAGGGCGTCTATTATACTCAGTGACACTATAAAACGTTCTATTCCTGTGTCTCTTTTAGAACTGACGCCTTTCTTGCGTTGACTGATTCTACTCCTAAGAATATCTGGCGTATACTCTCTAGGGAGATCAGACATATCACGGGCCATAATCTATCGATCATACCTAGTATAAATTCATTTCGGAGTTGCGGGTATGTCCGTTACGCTAGGTATCTGACTTGTGCTCAGACCAGACGTATACTACCTAGGTATAAGGCTAAGTAATAAGATGAGTTGTGGATGGGAAAGAGGTAAGTCTTTTTTTCTAAAGGAAAAAAAAAAAAAAAGAAAACCAATTATCTACCGTGTTGAACTGTGGAGGGAATCGGTTTCTCTATGAGTTGGCATGTTCCTGATGAGCAGCCGGTGTCGGTGATTTTCTTACTTGCTTCTATTTTCATTCACTGACATCAATCTCGATTATATAACGTACATCTTTTAAGCTGGTGCAGTATATACGACCTAGGTATACTACGTAGCACGAGACTCACCCTACATCGTGCAAGTTCTACGACTTTTCTCATAGCTCTTTGACGTACCTATCGTCACTTTCAATTGAAGCTAATAGCCACCCCTGTTCCATGTTGACATGGACAAGCGTTTGGAGAGTGGGATTCTGTAAATTACCGACTTACAAATCCTTTATTGCGTAGCGAAAGCCTGAATACTTTGCACTGTTCTCTATCGGGACCAAAGTAACGACGCGCCCTCAACCTTACGATTGTAAGAAATCCCAAAAAGATTTTTTTTTTAAAAATAAAAACCGAATATAGGCTGCTATCCTCAGTGAACTGAGGGGCATCAGGAATTGAGCCCGATGCGGGGGTCGAACCTGTCGAGGTTGTTAGTATTAGTTGTCGACCGCATTTTGCGTCCTGAATCATTCAGGAACAACTCACCCGCAACCTTGAGATTAAGAGTCTCACGCTCTACCGATTGAGCTAACCGGGCGTTCTTGTGGGTTCTTTGCTTGACATTTCGTTCGTTAAGCTATCGGTTGAACTAACTAGGCTGTGGTTGGTGTGCTGAGTATTCCCTGCTCTCTGTCATGCCAGGATGGGACGTCTGGAAGACCCAACCGGGAGGATGTTTTGGTGGGCATAGTATTACATAATAAGGGCAGGGGCAATGGGAAACATGTCTTGCGGCCCAGCGGGTAAGCGCTATTTATTCTAGGCATTTCCATGTTCCCATTTGCTGCAATGCGAATAGGCCTGGATATCCACAATAAGATGGCTGACAGTGATCCAAACAACACGCGCTAGGCTTGTTCGAACACCATATTTCAGGCAAACCCATGTACAATCTCTCTATCGAGCTTCTCTTTTTGACAAAGATATTTCTCGGCCATGTTTTGGAAACAATCAAAGGGGGAGCTTTCGCTGCGATTTCTGAGCCTTAATAAAAGGATCACGCGGTAATGCCGAGACCCGGGGGACCCTGAGAAGAGGATCATGTCACACAACGAGACTATAGTCGCCATTCAAAAGGAGCCAGCATCGCACTTTAAAGAAGCTGCTGACCAAATCAACAGCCGAGCAACTTCCTTATCCTGGCGGCAGCGTTTTCTCACCCGGAAAAAGATCATCATCATAGTCATTATGGTTGGCGTAGTCTCCCTCGCACTTGGGCTCGGGCTCGGCATTGGTCTGACACAGGCCCGGGCCTGCCCGGCGCCGAAGTCCTCAACCGCAACCCCGACCCCCTCCATCAATGCCAACGTCAACGTCATCCAGCCAAAAGTCGGGACCACCTGGGACTACCCGCTGGGCTTTTCCCTGACGACTGCCAATGCGAACAAGAGCACCATCTTCTACCCCGTGGACCTTGAGAACACGTCGGCGGGCACCATCGGAGCACTCAAGAGTGCTGGGCACACCATCATCTGCTATTTCAGCGCCGGCAGCGTAGAGGACTACCGCGAAGACGCGGGCCAATTCCCGGCATCGGCCGTCGGCAAGACGCTCGATGGCTGGCCGGACGAGAAGTGGGTTGACCATCGCAACGCCAAGGTGCGTGAGATCATGGCGACGCGCATCCAGAGCGCGGCGAGCAAGGGCTGTGTTGGCGTCGACCCGGACAACATCGACGGGTACACCAACAACTCGGGCTTCGACCTCACCGAGGACGACACGGTGGACTATGTGCAATACCTGGCCAAGACAGCGCACGCGGCAGGGCTTGGCTACGGACTGAAGAACTCGGGTGCCATCGTCGACCGTGTTGTTGATGTTGCCGAGTGGGCTATCAACGAGGAATGTGCGGAATACAAAGAATGCGCCGACTGGGCCCCCTTCGTAAAGGCCGGCAAGCCAGTCTTCCACGTCGAGTACACCGAGGACGACGACGCGACCAGTGTTAGTGCCTCCAAGCTGGCTAAGGCGTGCGCCGCCGATGGCCAATCTGGTTTCTCAACCATCGTGAAGCACTATGCACTTGATAACTGGGTTATCTATTGCTAAGTATACTTGGTTTGCGACGCGGGTGATCTTGGGCTCACCCTGCGCCTCTTATTCCCTGTCCTGTATATAATCTTACCTTGTAGCTACTGTGTCCTATATTTGTACATATTAAGATAAGCTTCCTTCAATTAGGAGCGTGGTCTCATGACGTCGTATCGCCGCCAACTAGTATTATTAGTTCACTCTACCGTATTGTGATTACTAGGTTAGCCCATCTAAGCTGACCGTCGAATGGTGCTGGATGTTGAGCCAAGATGGTATTCGATCCCAGGGTCTTCTGAGCTAGATCGCTCAATCGCCTAACTTTGTCTTCAGTATCTTCTCGTTTCTGGCGAAGACGTCTCAGTGCGCATTCACCGAATTGGAATGGTCGCCATGTCAAAGCCGGGAGCATGAGATTTAGTGAGTGGTTGTGGAATTCGAGAAGGTTATGGGGTATGTTGCGAAAGCGGTAAATATCAGCTCCATGAGAATTGGCGAGATCCGTGACTTTAGACTAACATAGTTTGAATATTTTCGCTTTAATCAAGATATTTCAGCATTATCTAGGCGCGTATGCCGAGTCTTGGGTAGATCCTCGCTCCCATGTCTCGCTGACACACGTAAAGGGCCTGCCAAAGTCACCGTAAGTTCTTCCTCCTATCATCCAGGACGCAGTAAATATTACGAACACTGAATAAAGCGGCCTAAACAAGGTTGTCGATTAATCATGGTAGTAAGTAGGTACTAGAGATAGGAATAATTGATGGGTTCAAAGTTTAAAGATACCTGGCCTTGGTACATACATGCTGGAAGGAACATTGAAGCCTTGCATGGTACTTATCGATAGGTATCATCACCTTCGCCGAGCTTTTCCCGAGCATAGAACCCCACTTTGGACAGGTTCGACCCTGGGCAGTACGTACCTTATCAGCAAAGGTGGAGCCTAGAGCTTTAGAGCTTGGATCCAAAATTTTCAATTCGGGGCTTCATATTCCAACCTCGCCCGTTTTGTATTGCAATAGCGCGAGACTGATCTTACCGTGTCCTGGGTGCATCACCCGCCTGTTGCCTCTGATACGAGTCGCCAACGTCGTTGCACTGCCAATTGCGCCTGCTCCGGCTCCCCAACGCCAGCACACCTATCGATCTCGACCTGCCACTGTCACGGTCGTCCCCAGCTGCCATCATGCCGCACCTCGACTATCTTCTCTACGAGGTTAGCACTTTGTAGTCCCTTATTCCTCGTTTCGGTGACTTGTCGACATAAGCAGGAAGGAATTGTACTGCGCCGGAACCTGACTGACCCCTGATTTTCGAATTAGTCTGCGACCGGATACGCCCTCTTCAAAGTGGTCCACCAGCAGGATGACATCGCATTACGGATGGACGAAGTGAAGAAGGCTGCCGAGGACCTCGCGAAGCTCGGAAAGATGCTCAGCCTGGTTTCTTATGCTGTCTGGAGATCCGCTGCTGAGGCACTCGAAAACATTCATTCCATCTCAGAAGGATTGATGACGGATTATTTGAAGTCCACCATTGAGCTCAATATCCCTGCCTCCAAGAAGACCAAGGTCGTATTGGGTGTCGCCGACAAGAATCTTGCGGGAAATATTAAGGCTGCATTCCCGGGTATTGAGGCTGAGACCAGCGACACCTCCGACGCTGTCGCCTACCTACTACGTGGCATTCGTCTACACGCGTCGAAGCTGTTCAAGAGCCTGAAGGAGGGAGATGAGGAGAAGGCTCAGCTGGGTCTCGGCCATGCTTGTGCGTGTTTCTATGCCTTAAATTTGCCAATTGCATGCTGCTGACGTTCCTTGCTAGATTCGCGAAGCAAAGTTAAATTCAACGTGCACCGTAATGATAATCATAGTGAGTTGCCTACGATGATGTTTCTCTAGGCCCTGCTGGAAACCCGAAATGGCGTCGGGCCTCTACTATAAACAACAATAACTAACATCTTGTCTATAGTTATCCGCTCTATTGCCACGTATGTGTGATTCCAAAACGTTCTCTAATTAGACTTGTGTTAACTGTTGGCTGAACAGCTTGGATAATTTGGATAAGGTAGGCGCTCTGCTCCCATTCCAGTTTTGTCGTTTTATAGCTGGTATTCGAAATGAAATAGTTTTTCTGCTCTAAATCAGCCTTGAATGCGTTTGTCATGGGTGTTAGACTCCGATGCGAATGATAATTACTGACTCGCCGTCTAGGGCATAAATCTCTTTTCTCAGAAGCTGTGAGTATCTTGAAGACTTTATTTGCTTCCTGCCATGGTCAAAATATGGAGCAAACCTTTGCTAGTTGACCTTATCCCTCCAACAAGGATCTTTCTAATTCTTTGTTATTGCAGCCGCGAGTGGTACAGCTGGCATTTTCCAGAATTGGTAAGCAACTTTGGTTCCTCTGCGACGACATACACTGACCTAGGATGCTGTAGTACGCGATTTGCTCTGATAATCTTACCTACGCCAAGGTCGCACGTTTTGTCGGAGATAAGAGCACGTTGGGGGATGACAAGCTCCATGAGCTAGCTGGACTCATAGACGATGACGAGGAGAAGGCTGCTGAGATTATCCTGAAGGCCAAAATGTCTATGGGAAGGGAAATCGGCGAGACGGACCTTGAAAATGTCCTTACGTTTGCTGAAAAGGTGCAAAGCTTGGCAGGTAAGACTGTCATTTTGGTGATGTTCTGCTCATGAATGCTGACAGTCTTTTTCTAGAATATAGGAGAACTCTCTACTCCTACCTAGCCGATAAGATGAGCACTGTGGCGCCAAATCTCTCTACCCTAAGTAAGTAGCCCCCATATCTTCTATTTACACCCTGGCTGGCTTAGTCTCGTAGTTTAAGCGGCCATTATGGATTCCGTTGTAGATGACGCCGGCTGACTCTTGCCGGAACAGTTGGTGACGTGGTTGCTGCGCGTTTGATCCAGAAGGCTGGTTCCCTCACGAACCTATCCAAGTACCCTGCTTCAACCCTACAAATCTTGGGGGCGGAAAAGGCGTTGTTTAGAGCCCTTAAGACGAAGAGGTTAGTATTCGTACCTTTGACCTTTTTTCCCTTTTGTTACATCTTGAGCTGGGTTTGTCAATTAGAACCACTTTGCTCCCGACACCCCTCCCTGTTTTCCTGGCCTTAGGCCTCTCATCCTAGAATCCGACTATCGGCTGCTAACCTTAAATCCCTCAAGCAACACGCCAAAATACGGCCTCATATTCCACAGCAGTTTCATTGGAAGGGCAGCACAAAAGGACAAAGGTCGAATTTCGCGATACCTCGCGAACAAATGTAGTTTGGCGTAAGTTGCCCTCTACACTTTTACCTTAGTATCAATTCTGAGCTAAACGGTGATTTACTGATACCTTCTGATGTAGTGCGCGTATCGATAATTTCTCCGAGGAACCTTCAAAGAAATTTGGTGAGGTGCTGCGCAGTCAGGTTGAAGACAGACTGGAGTTTTATGCCACTGGCAAGAAGCCCATCAAGAACTCCGAGGTCA